ATAGTTATCTTAATAAATGATAATGAAAGATATCAAATACCGTGTCAGTTATTTCAATAATGTCATTACGTCAGACAATATACAGAAGTTGAAATATATACAGAAAATGATGAAAATTAAGAATAAGCATTTTACGCAATGGCCGCTAGCCTTCGTCAGTCGATTTCAGAAAAATGGTACGTAAATTAGAGTGTGAAAGTTGTATGTTAAGCTCGGGTGTCGGAGGCGTCCCGGGACGTCCTCTCTAGTTTAGGTCTGCGCCCGAGTGGTATGTGTGAGAACCGTGGAGTGAGTGTGTTGGTGTGCCTGTTTTGCCATTTTTTAAATATAGGGCCCCTGGATAGGATAGGTAGCTTACTTTCTGGTATGCCTGTNGTTTAATTATAAGTAGGTAGGGCCGGGCAGGTTGGCACAGTCTCTGGTCGCGTGTCCCCTTTTCGCGTGTCCAACCTGTTTCAGGAAATCTAATTTGAAAGATCGACAGTGAAATTGGTACAAATGGAGCATGCCACTTGTTTCTGGTTTTACTCTTCGGTTTTTCGAATTTAGTATCGCGGTCGTGGTCGCGGATAGGTCGCTAGTAGGTCCCGAAACGATCGTTTATGTAGGTATTGCTCGAGCACGCACGTGCGAACGGACAACGATCACTATGATCGATGGTCGTCCATGTGTATCTGGTTCAGTTTCCGCGATTTATCTTTTCATTTCACCTTTATAAGTTATTTTTTGGTTTGCGATTAGAAAGACTCGAGCTAGATGTAAGTTTCAGCGAGCATTGCGCTCGAAGAAAGAAGAGGCTGAAAGCCGAAGAGGCCCGGCAAACTGCCACGAAGAGGGTCACAACAAATGGCTTCTTATCCTCTGGATCATTTAAATGATTCCAGAGCATGGGAGATCATTCTCGTTACTACTTTGTCACTATGCTTTTTTAGTATTTGTAGTTGTATTTTTTCTTCTTCTCCATCATCGTTCATCATCGTTTAGGGCAAATCGCGATTTTTCTTGTTAGTGTTGCGAGAGATCGATTACGGGTTGAATTAGAGTTGCGAAGAAATGATAATCGTGTTTGATTTAGAGTTGCGAGTTATCGTACCGCGATTGTCTTTTTTTGCAATTTTGATTGTGAATTTTTAAAGTTATCCTGGAGTTTATAGTAAAATTTGTCTTGTTTTCCATTGTTTTAAATAGAGTCGTTGCTTTTAATTAATTTTAGAATGTTAGAATATTTGAATATCAGTTTTTTGTTCATATAGTAGCTTTTGTATTCTTGATAATAATTCTCATTGAATATATATAGTTTTAGAATTAGTGTTGCGATAATGTGTTTGTTTCCATCGAGATTTCCAATTATTTTTTCTTTTATTTTCTTTAGAATTAGTGTTGCGATAATGAATGATCGCGTTTCTTGAAGTAGTGTTGCGTTTACAAAATTCGCTCAAATTCTTCTATTGGATTTATGGATGCACCTGGATCACTCGATGCAGCTACAAGAGCTGTAGCAGTGATCATTTATCAGCAATCTCCAGCATGATTGCACTGAACGCGTCGAAATTAGTGTTGCGTATTTCTGAAGACGAGTGCATAGATTAATAGTGTTGCGTACTTATTTTCGGGAGTTTTAGTTTTATGACGAAGCACTCTTTGACTTTGAAAATTTCTTATTTCATAATTAGTAGCACTAGTGAGTTAGTGTTGCGAAACAAGATACGGTTTGTCGCGCGGATTCACGTCGAATGTAGATTTGACAATAGCCCTTCTGGTTATATTGTATCGCGATTTTTTTTTTTCAATGGCCTTTCCGGCTATTTTAAATTTTCTTTGTCAGTAGCTCTTCTAGTTACTGTATTAGGTTTCCTTTTTCAGCATTTACCTCCTTACCATTGCATTTATTACTGAAAATATATAAAAAATATATAATTTTAAAAAATATATAATTTTTATTAGCTATAACTTTGTTAAATTTTATTTTATAAATTTAATATATTCACATGTATGAAGATGTAACTGATCTCGTGTGTCATATATAAAATAAAGTGAAGAAAGTATTGCAACAATTAAATATTACAATGAAAATTTTTACAAAATAATTAAATCGATAGTACTTTGTAGAATATTTCGAAATATGAGTTTCTAATCCATATAAATTTCTGGTATCCAATCTATTGTTATTGAAGTCAATAATAATGACTGTTCGTTATCAGAGTTAATAATAGTGATTGTTCGTTATTTTCTTATCATTTTTTTTTTGATTTTCTCTATTCTAAATGTTTCAATGTTTTTTTTTTTGTATGTGTAATATGTCTTCATTGAAGATCTTTTTATTTAAATTATAATATTAATCTAATATATAGGTTTGTTTCAGATACATTAACTTACAGAGAGTATTAGTTATAGAAAATGTGTACACTAAAGGTTTAGCAAGATGGAATATGAATCAAAGAAAGTAACTGACAATAAATAAAAAAAATTGTCAGTTACAAACAAAATAATGTTTCATCGAACTGTAATATTTATATTTTACAAATTTTTATCAATCTTTTTCAATTTCTTAGCTTTGTTTCAGGTACAAATTATAGAATTGATCGAAGAAGACTTCGCGATGGTTCGACAACATTGTAATGGGTTTCAAAAATCATGTTTCTGGCGCATTCACTATTTGACCAACCTCTATCGTTTCATTTGATATAATTCTCCAATTCACCGTTGAAAAACCAGTGATTTTTTATTACTCAGGTCATTTTTTTTTTTTTTTACAACACGGGCTATGAAGTCCCATAATACAAACGAGGTATATGATTTGTTGAAAAGAGAATTAACATTCGTTAAATTATATTTATGAAAAACGACGATATTCTTATTTGGTATTGTTTAAGGAAGTAAATTTGACTTCGAAATTTCGAACGATTTGCAAAAGATAATTTACATCACACAACTATGTGCCCTTTTATCTGCCTAATAAACATTTATATATATATAACATTATCACCAGATATATATATATATATAACATTATCACCAGAACTATAATGTTCAAAATGAACATTTAATTAATTATACTAAGAAAAATATCATTTTTAACATATTTTTCGCATAAACATCCGCTGTCCAATTAACATTTTCAATTTTCATGTCTTTAACTATACCAAATATTTGTTCTAACTACATGAAACCTACCAAAAGTTCTGAAAGTTTATGTAACTATAATTCCAAAGTTGCTTGTAATTTGTCGCAAAGATGCACATCGTTAGAAGCGTTGAACTTTCCCCTTTAAAACGCTTTCCCTTTCATTTCGATACGACTTCCGGTTCCTGAGATATCGTCGTGCAAAGACAAAGCTAATTTTCGGCTGGTTCCTATCTCTGTCCTCGTCGAACGCTCGCACTCTCTTTCGCACGGCTCGTCACTGACCTACCGCACACCCAGTCAGACAGATTCCAGGAAAAAATATAGGTCACGGCGTCTGGCGCCATTCAAGATGGCAGACATCTTGGCGCGAATTTTAACTCGTATACACAAACTTTGAAGCACTGTATTTTCCGAACGGATTGAGATATCGGCATGAAATGAAGCGCGTTTTAAAGCGTACACTTTCCACTATCTTTTTTGGAGGTATTTTCTCCATTGTCTTTCAAAAGTATACTTTTTCAACTTCTTTAAAAATTTTATAAATAAATTTGTAAATTTTTATAAATTTGTGGTGTATATTTGAAACGCAAAGCGATCTTTAGATTTAGAAAATTTTGAAACGAAGAATAAATTACTGAGAAACGTGGAAAAATCAATACGCATGATTTCTGAAGGGACAGAATGAAAATGAGATTTGGAACAGTGAGATTTAGGTGAAATCTAATTTTTTGAACGGTGAATTCTATTTGAAACGCATCGAAGATTAGTTTCAAAGGAATTTCGATGGACGTTTTTTCGAAGCATAGGTTAATAGTTAGTAACGTTGCGTAAATAATAATTAACATAATTCGCGACGTGTACGTTTTCACTTTTTTTCAGTTTTTCAATTTTTTGTATTTTTCTTTCACTACTACCGCAAAAACATTCTTATTTGTTTTGGCAATTATATTTTGTTAAAAACATTCTATTATTAATAAATGTTAGATATAATTATTAACAAATATAATAAATATTTTATTGTATTGCAATTAGTGTTACTAAGAGAAAAAATATTCTACTGTCAGTTTTTTTTTTGTTCGTCTTCAATGAATGGATCATACATTGATTAGGCATAAGTAGTATAAGTCTCTCTCTCTCTCTCTCTCTCTCTCTCTATATATATATATATATATATATATATATAGGCCTAGCACGAGCAAGTAGTATAGATCGGCCTATGGTTAGACATAAACAAGTAGTATAGGTAGCAATATAGGTCAACATTATTTAATTATTTTCATCGTTATATTATACTTCTACTATTCATACTCACTACAATATAAACTCTGTTTAATTAACATACTATTAACGTTCCTTGTTATTATAATTTATGAAAGAAACTTTTTTTCTCTTTAATCATCTTTTTTGTTATTACATTTACTAGTGGAATAATGTTTTATTATTGTATACTTTCTGCCTCTCATACATTTGATTTAACACATCATTGCGATTAGAAATTTCGAAGAAATTCACCATGCGAGCTTTTAAATTTTTGCAAACATAACGAAAGAAGCTAAATAAAAATTTCTTTCATCAATTATATATTGTAGTAAATACTCAATTCTCGGTGTTTCCACATATTTTTGCGTATTAAACGCATTCTTCAGTTACCTAAAACATGCACGTAGTCGTTTGTTTGTACTTTCGCAATGGCACGTCAATCAAAATTTGCTAGCAAAGCGAAGTGAAATTTTCAAAACCTGAATACATAAATGTAGCTACCAAATTACATGATGTTGTAGAAGATATTGGTCATCAATCATTCTCCACGAGAGAAGAGAAAACAGCGAACGCAACGATAAAAAAAAAAAAAAAGAGAAAAGGCATAACAGAAGAGAAAAACCAATTCGATGGACATTAAGTTAATAACATCATAGCCAGGAGAATTCAGATTTCAGTATCGCTCATTGCCTGATTTCATTTCTCGGAGCCCCAATATCCCGCTGTGCCATGCCGTATGGGGTGGTTTTCAGCCAGGAGTGTGCGCAGTGACAGGTAAACGCGCAACCTGGAGGAAGAGCAGAGAGGAGGAGGCAGTCCTGTGAACCCGTGTGGCGATGCATCGAGGTAGACACGTCGTGACTCCCGATGCCGAAACATTCACGACTACGTCGGGTGACAGGTCAGTCTCGACCTGTTCTCGTTGGTACAACGGCCGTCCTTTTGCTGCTGGCCATCTGGCCTGACATTGTACCTGTCACACGTCTACAGACTGGATCGATTAATATTTGTCGTTCAATTACTTTTTGGGCAGCTTTTCTCTGCAGCCGACGAGGGACACATTCGAGGAATTCGCGTGGAATTCGCCTTGACGTCGTCATCGTTGCTGGCCGAGTGAACATACATTTAAAAAGGCAGACAACGCGGATTGAGAATCCGCAGCATGAACAGGTGGTGCAGCGTCAGCCGAGCACCAGGAAGGACAAATATCGGGGAAGATGTAACAGGTATCCTTCCTCTCTTCTTCTTCACTCGCTTCCTTTCGCCCTCCGATCTTCTTCTCTGTTTCCTTTTTTTTTTTTTCTCTTGATTGTTGTTTCTCATCGTCGATTCCTTTCAAATTCATTTCGAAATGTATATAATGCAGGAGAGACTTTCATTTATGTGTAGGAGAGAAAGATTATTGTTTTATTAGAGCTATTTGTTCCGACTCAAGATCATAATTAATAGTTGTTGATATTTTTGTAAGCAATAAGTGTAGAATAATATTTTTAAAATGTAAATGTACGGACTCTTAAGTTACGCGACATAATAGAGTTAGAGTTAGAATTGGCAATGTCGTTAACATTATTCTCACTCGAAATTTTCTAAACTTACAACGCATGCATTTTTAGATGTCGAAATAATTTTTGAATAAAATCTTGCATTTTTTATAATATTATAAACTTCTTTCCATTTCTTATATTTTCGTTTTCATAACTTGCCTCTAAAAAATGCGCGATCCAATGGTTCAACTGTGTAAGCCTTTGAGAATATTTTTTATTCCGTTGTAGAACGCCATTTTGAAATTCGAATGTAGTAATTTCAACACTGTCATACTGCAACATAGCATTTTTAAGTATTTTCTTAATTTTCTTAATTTTTATTCGAATGCTTGTAATTTAATATAAGAAAAATGACCATTTTTTTTATTAACAGAATACTTTTGTTTCTTTATTAATACAGATATGAGAAGCTCTACATATGTACATATATATATATATAGGGTGTCTTACTCGAGATTGAATATTTGTATGTCTCCTTTAATAGCGTTTTAAATAGTTTCAGAAAGCTAACATAAAACATTTTTTTACAATAATTTTCTTTTTCTTTTTACCGATATTTTTTGCCAGACAGCATACATTTTTTTTTTAATTAAATTACGTAGCACGTATTAAGACACATTACATAATTTCAATATAATCATTATATAATCTCTAAATAATCTTGAATAATTTCATTGAAAATGAAATTCTGAAACATTGTGCAGGATTTCTGTGTTACAAATGCTTAAAATCTGTTGGCGGCAATACATAGTCTCAAATATTGTATAAATAATTAATATAAAAGGAGATATTCAGATGTTTAATTTTAGATAGGACATTTTGAAAAAAAAAAAAAATACGTATAATTACACATTTCTCATAAATGATATTTTGCAACTGAAAGCTTTTCATTTATCTCTTCTTTTTTCATTTTTCACTGTAGCTGAATTTTTTTCTTCGTTAAAACATGACGAAAGAACGGTTGCTTGAAGATCCAAGTTCATGTTATCGTACAAGTATTTCCACTCGTATAGAAATTATTCCACGTAACATTATGCAAATGACATTTAACCCATAATCAGGCACAAGCTCTTCTCGTTCCGCTTCAAGAAATTACAAGTTTGCTTTAAAATCTCGTATCGATCTATTTTGTTTCATACCTGTACGTAAACTTGTTATTCTATTATGAAAACGAAACCTGTTCGAGGCTCAGAAACTTTATTTTGTTGTAAGTAAAGTAAACTAACGTGGGATTATTTCAAAAATAACATAGAAACAAATAAGAGGATAACGTTATTTAAGTAATTATTTTTCAGGCATTTTATTCTTCCATCATATACATTCGCTTTCATTTTTCTTAAAGGTTAATTAAAAAATTAATAATTAATAATTAATAAATTGTTGGAAAAGAAAATACTGGAACATCAACGTTCCATTCGTATAAAAATATAATGTTAATAAATAATAAATTTCACAAATTTGATAAAATAATAATTTTATTAAAAATTAAAATAAATTTATTTGATAAAATAATTTAAAAAATAATCATATTTTCGCGAATATGTGACAAAGTGCAGTTTCGGAGAGAAATCATCTTTCAAAAGAAATTGAGACAGGGTATAAAAACGAAATAATCTTCTTCAATGTGATAACGGGGAATAATTTTTATAAAAATAGAGGGTAAACGCGAGGTCAAATTAACGGGGATAGAGCCGCGTTATACAACTGTCAGATCAATCACAAACCAATAAAACCGTCACTAAATATAAACGGTGAGATATCCACGAAATTTTTCGCCGTTAAAACTTTATACACGTATAATCGTTAAATGTTATAGTGTAGAAAAATATAACGCGTCACTGAGCGTGAAAATAACAGAAGAAGGGTTAAAGGTGATGGCCTATAATGCGTTTTAAGAGCACCGCGTGCACATGAAAGCACGCTCAATTTAGACACTAGTCGCGCGTTTTACTTCTTAACTGTTCGCTCGTGAATTTTAATACACGTAGATTTTTTTTCATTTAACGTGTCTGCTACGTTATCATATACGTTTTTTCATGTTCAGCAACTTTTATATGAAGTGTTATGTTGAGACGAAGCTTTTCAGTTTAATTTAATAAAAGTGATTTGCAAAGACATGATCATAATGTGATTTGCCGATCTCGCAATTTTAATTAGCTCGAATGGATTTGCATAATCATCATTGCTGTTAAAAACACGAAACATCGAAAAATATTTCGCAAAACGCGAATTAAATTTATATATATATATAAATTTTATATATATTATATATTTTATATATAAAATTTTATATATTCTAAATCCATTTATACGACACTTCTACGTCGACTGAAAAATGTCGAAACGATGAAACAACGCTCAACATCGTACTAATCAATTGCACGCTCGTTTAATTCGCATGCTACGCTTGGAATATCATTGCAAGGAGGTTTGAATCGCGTTGAACTCCTGCCAGTTGTCAACTGAATTGTCGGAATCCACGTGCAATTTCGATTTCTATACGTTTCGTATCTTCGCATCAGATGTGAATCGTGTTTTAATAATTCGATATCGAATGAATCGTTGCGCCGATAGTTCGTGAATTGTATTGCGTGCGTGTTCCGAGTTTCGTATCGTACAATGAAGGTCCATCTCTTTCAGAGGGCAATTTATCAGCAAACGCACTATACACAATTTATCAAACTCCTCCCACCCTTTCCCAATAATCAGATTAACAACGATATCGAGTAGATTCGTAATAATAGCGACAGCTTAATAGCACGATGATTTGATCGCGCGAAATCAATCGCGCGCTGATGACGAGATTGTCGACGAGAATCGCCCCGGAAATTGATTCAAAATCGTCCAAAGTTGGCGAATATCGGAGCCTGTTTTGTACGATAATCATTTTCAAACACTGGGAGGGATAATTCATCCCAGAAAATTAGCACATTAATAGTCGAACCAGGTTAGAGCGAAAAAAAAAAAAAAAAAGATAACCTTAGCTATGAATCGTAAATCGTAGATAAAGGAAAGATCTAAAAAAAGAAAGAGAAGCTGTTTCAGCCATGAATCTCAAACTGATCAATAAATTTCCAGAAACGTTAATAAGTTTCAAAGAAGTCGTTTGCTGAATAATACGAGATAATTAGCGTATTGAATTGCTAACAGCGGCGATTCGCGTTAGACGATTCATGAAAACGAAGAGTCAACTAATCGCGTAGATAACATTTGTCCAGTTGTTACTGTTTCAATAGAAGCTCCGACAAAATTGTGTAACATGCATGAAGGCCGGTGTACGTTCGGTTTTTCCCTGTGTTTTGTCGAATGTCAGTTCTTGCGGGATGAATCGTGAAATTGAAACCCGTGAAAACGGAACGAAGGATCAAACAGCGAGACAGCAGTATTTTTACGATGGATTAGATTTAGTTTAGCGGAGCTTAATCGTTCAGTGAAATTTAACGGAGCTTAATTATTTTAACAAATCATCGTTTCGCGATGTATAGTGACTCACGAAGATATTTGGACATTTTTTTATTAGAGAAATTATACGACATGAATAGTCATTTTAGGTAGTTCAATAATACATAATAGTGCAATAATACAATATTATATTTAGTACAATTTTGTTTTAAAGACAGTTCATGGAATTTGTTATTAATGTTTTCCTTTGTGGTTTATCACTTGGTAGGATTACACAGAAACGTTCCAAAGTTTAATATCGAATTGCCCGAGGTGCTTGCGTGTAACAAAGCGGTCTTTGCCGTGGATTTCATAATTTATTCTGTGATTATTCGAACAAACAAAGTGGTTTGAATTCTGAGGAAAAAAATACGTACAGAGAAAAAAGCTGAAAGAAACTCACAGTTACATGTAATCTGTTGAAGACCAAGCATTAATTTATCAAAATATAAATTTCTCAATTTCTTGAGATTTCAAAAAGTTGTAAAATCTATACATATATCGAAGATGTAATGATGAAGAAATATGAAGCAAATTCTTGGAATTTTTTTATATTTATAGAAATATCAATAACTTATTAGTCTTTATATTTATATAAAAAAATTAAAAGATATTAAAAACTCGAGTTTGATAATATACCTTTATAATATATATATAAAGATTTAATGACTTACGAAAATATTTGTACATTTGTCGTCACATTTTATGAATATTTTACGATACTATAACAATATTAAATATCCTATATTAATGTTTATTTTAAAATTTCGTTAGGCACAATGACAGTGACTCGTACAAAAAAACAAAATAATTATTCAAACAAAATTAACTTAAACAAAAATTTGCTTTAAATGTGTTATATATTTTTATACTCATTTTGTTCGTTTTCACATTTCAAATTTGGCGTAAATGCGTACAAGTCTATAGTCTAGTAATGACATTCAACTGACATGCACTGATATTTTAATTAACTGGAGACGAGATAGAATTATACAACTACCTATGTTAATAAATTAAATTATCTAAAAAGATTCTCCACTCTCCTAATAACTAGCCTCTCTTCTAAAAACGCATGGTTCCTTCTTGTTTTAATCCAACGTTCACTTTCAAACACTGTGAAATCGCGAGCAACTGGAATATCTCTTTTCATTTTTCTTTGGACATCTCAGAAAAGAAAGAATGATCATTTTAAGGATGATAAATTGTAAAATATATTAGAAAGATGTGCAAATAATATAGAGATACGATGAAAATCCGATGAAAAATTCTGCGGTGTGTCTTTCGTAAAGGAAGCACGAAAAATCAGTGTAAAACTCACAGCAGATTCTCAAATCCCTACGAAATTCTAAATTCCTAATAAACCGCTGCCTTTACGAACCTTCCTGACTGAAAAAACAGCTCGTTTCGTTCCCTCTTTTATCCAACTTCCTTTCGTTTCTTTTTCTTCAGCTCCCGCTTCTGTTGTCTTTCGCCCGCTTTATTCTTCACGCGATTCTCTTCGAGCTCTCCTTGTTCGCCCGTTTCTTCGTGTGTAACGCCGGCCTCAGAGACCACGGTGTGGCTTACCTCCAGAAGGGATAAATCGATTCTGTTTCGTGCTATAAATAAGCTCCTCATGGGAGCTCGTCCCGCACGCGAAAACGGCGCGGAATTTTCTCTTGCTTAGAACCGACGCTTACCAAAAGATTCTTCTTATTAAAAACCCACGAACCTGGTTGAAAGATTTATTTTGTCATGCGAGCAAACTTCCAACAAACTGCAAAATCAGATGAGAGAGAAAAAGGATTGTTTTCTGCTCCTCTCTAGGGAGTCTGTTGTGAAACTTGCTCGCTTCAATTGGCATGGCAAAAAGAAAAAAAAAAAAAAAAAGGAAGAAGAAGTGAAAAACTAGTTTTTCCCTTGGGAGGAAGTTTCGTATCGGAGTCAACGGCAAATTGTGCGTAAGTAACGCGTTCTTTGACAACCGATTGATGGATTACTGGCCAAGTTCCATTAGTCCTCGCAGACTCGACAATAAAAGATCCTGGTTCCGATATTTTTCTCTTCTGTCGAGACATGCCTCTATCGAGGACAGATCTGTCACAGATTTATCAAACTTACTCATCTTTTTATTCCGACTTTTTCAGAGTTACGATTAACTTTGCTCGTTCTTCTTCGTGAAAACGTACTTCTTTAAACAACGAATATCGCAAACTGGAGCATATTTGATCATATTACCAAAATGTGGATTTTTATGCATTTGTATATGGAATATACATTGTATATTATTATTATTAAATTATTTATATATATAAATATATATTATTATTATATTATTTATATATATATATAAATATAAATATATTATTAAATTATTTATATATATATATATATTATATAAAATATATCCAAAGTAGAGTATTCCAATTCTTTCAACTGTGTTCACAAAAAATTTATAAATACGTGAATATTAATAGAATAAAATTGTTAATCAGCTTTATCGCGTATACGTATACGTATAAATTTATGTACGATCACCATTTTTGAAATAATTTTTTGAAAATTTCGAGCAAAATTATTTGATCCTTTTATTTTTATTATCATTCCAAATTAAAATACTTTACAAATAATATAATTAAGTACAAAAAGCTTCAATTTTTCAAATGTTCTCTTCCTCTCCAACTGCAATTCGATCGATAGTCCTTTCACATGACACTAAATGTTAGATAGTATAGCTGGGGGTAAAAACATGCTATCCTTGGAAATACGACTGTGTTAACAAAGAATCACGAGATTCCTGTGATTAGAGAGAAACCACAAATTCAGAAGAGCGTGTTTAACCATTTGTCAGAGTACTTTTACAATTTATAGACCGTGGAGTTTTATGCATTTAGAGGAATTTTAAATGTGCAGAAACATATTAAAAACTATAGAAAGTAGAGTATTTTATAACAACTTTTTTATAATTTTTTATAATTAACATTTGCTATAATTGGACCGCGAACTTTTGTGAAAATTCATGCACTTTTGAAAATAATTAAAAAAATCGAGATCTGGTTCACAACTGCATTTTATTATTGTATACCTGGTTCTATGTATTACGTGAGTTTTATGCATTTTTGCGCCCTCAAGTTTCTCACGTAAATAATTTATCACGTCAACGTGATTCACGGTAACCGTATGCTGCATAAATATGAATCCTCGCCGAAGCTGTTACATAAATTAATGTTGTATTAAAATTTCACACTCGACTGACGTCGCGATGCAATTAAAACTTAATCGAGGAAAGAGAGATGTACCTGTTTACCCATCGACAACTTGCTCATTGATTGCAGTTTCAACAAATTGCGGCTGCAAAAGGAGAAGCTCGAGGAGAAGCATCTGCACCTGTTGCAGACTGTCGAGAGCGAGAAGGCAGCTATAAGTGGCAGTATACACAGCAATGCGAGGCGCTCACGTTAGAGATAAAGAATCTTCGCCGGGCAGAAGTAAGTTGAGAATTAAATTCGATGAAAATCTTCGCGTAAGAGAATTAGAGTTATTAGTTATTTGAGCTGGCAGGTAATTATTCTTCAATATTCTTCGTTCGATTTACAATTAAACATTTTCAGAAATTGAGCGACTCTTCTTGTTGTGATCTTAAATTAACGATGCTGTGTGGTCTGATAGGTTTATACAATTATTGGTTGCTACGTTAATAAAGGATCACTTTAAATTCATATTTTTTTAGTAAAGTTGAAGGATCTGATAACATATTTTACTAATTATTAAAGTTAAAGTGAAAATTAAGTCACTCTCAATTTTCAATAACTTACATGTTTTTAGTAAAATTGAAGGATCTGATACATTTTCAATTATTGAAGTTAAACTACTGAAGTTAAGGTTAAATTATTAGGCCATTTCAAATTTTCAACAAAATTTACATGTTTTTAGTAAAATTAAATGATCTGATATACATTATTAATTTTGAAGTTGAACTACTAAATTTAAGATTAAATTACCATTTAAAATTTTTAACTATTTATATGTTTTTAGTAAAATTGAAGGATCTGATAATATATTTTATTAACTTTATTAAGCTTAAATAACGTAAAAAAATTAAGCCACATTCAATTTTGAATAACTTACATTTTTAGGTGATTTAGTAAAATTAAAATATCTGATATATTTTATTAATTGTTAAAGTTGAACTGCTAAAGTTAAGGTGATTAATACGTCGTTTCAAATTTTCAATAACTTGCATGATTTTGTAAAATTGAAGGATCTGAATCTGACAGTATGTTTTATTAAATTTAAGGTGCAAATTAGGCTCAATTTTTAATAACTCGTACGTTTTTGGTAAAATTGAAGGAACATAATTTAACTCTATGCATTTTATTAACTATTCAAGTTCCGGTGGACACGATTCGGTAGTTACGTCATTTGGACTACGAGATATTACCGAGGACTCGATCGAGATGCGAAAAATCAAAGACGTCCAAAGATTCTTGAGAGGTTGGTTGTGCCGCAGGCGTTGGAAACAAATCGTCGAGCAGTACATTAAAAGCTCTCGCTCTATACGTAGCCGGAACAGGTAGAAATTGCTTTCTCTTTATTCAAATTTTCGCTCGTAACGTCAAGTGCGATCAATCAATTAAAATAATAACTCTATAAACTCAAGAATAGTGGATCATTATGACTAGATTGCCAATTTTCAAGCATGTAAGAAATTTTAAAGTGCAAAGAGCGAAAGCAGAGCGAAAAGTAAAAAAAATTCATATATTCAACTGTTTAAAGAAAAGAAAAGTTTATAGATACCAATTTATGTTTTGGTTAGAGATATTTTGAGGGACTGATGATGTTTGTACAATTGTTCATATAATTGTTTACTGAAAAAACAGCGAAACACAGATCACGAGATCTGCTGCACAATTCCTTCTTATTATAATCAAAAATTACAATCGAAATAAATTTTATTCTTTATTGTACGTACCGTATAGATTTCGATAAGATTGTGTGTAAGAGACACTATATTTTACAGTTATAGTATTTTAATAGTTATTTAATTATAAATAACAAATTGATAAATATCCATAAAATATCTAAGCTTTTTTCTGTTTTAAATGTATGAAATTCGACAGACGTATGAAAATGTTCGCAACTGATTATATAAAGAAAATATAGTGTTTAACGAATGATGATCAACTGAAAATATTAATCTCAATAATTATAATACAATGAACGAAACATATCGGATCTGGCGAATCAAAATTTAATTAACATTACTTTCAACGTTGAAACATTTTATTAAGAGCTTGGAAGAATTTCGTTCACGACATTTGAAACATTATGATAGAGTAGTCGAGAAAACATTATTATGTACTCACTCTTCGCCAAATATTTCATTTAAATTTCGATCTGATCATGTTTTCCCCCGGATTTGCCACGATTGACATAAAAGACGAACAGAGCTTATTATAAACAGTACGAAATTCTTGCCAAATTCATCCTCTCAGGGGCACTCTAAAATTTACCTTGTTGGTAATATTCAGGTTCAGCAACGTCGTATATTCATCTTATACCTCTCTAACACATTCTCCACCACGTAGGTGAAAAGAAGAAGATAGTATGAATTTTTTTCATTTCAGGTTAGCGTTTCAAACTATGGAAGCCGAGAAAGAATATACAAAAGAGATGGAGATATTAGTAAGCTGTTTCTTGAGGGCTTTTAAGATGGCTGCTAACTCAAAGAAACCCCCTAACCACAAGGATGCGAACAGTGTATTTTTGAATATCGAGACAGTGTTGTTTCTTTATCAGATCTTCCTGAAGGGTCTCACTTCTCGTATGGAGAACTGGCCCACTTTAGTTTTAGGTATGTCTTTTTTATTTTTATTCAACAATTCCATCGTTGTTGCATTCAGGCAAGATTTGCCCATTAATTCTTTTCGCGTTTCGCTTCAGAACACTGTGAATAGAAGTGTGAAAGATATAGTTGTTCACGAAAGTATTGGAATACTTACAGAAACTTTTTACGAATGTATTATGTGACGTTGTGTCACGATTATATTGGTAAATTCAATTAATATTATTATTTTTCGCCGTTTCATTAAATTTTGAATATCCAGCGAGAACGAATATAATGACGAAAATATTGTAGTTGTTTAGTATTTAAATTCGTTAGAATAATTAGACTGCGGATATTTATGCAAATTTGTGATAATATCGTGTATTAGATATTATTGTAATGAAATATATAAATTAATACTAAATATTAATACTAAATTAAATATGAATCAAATATTATAGAAAGCACTATGTTTCAAATATTTTATTCTTTGCAATTTTATTTTGTATCAATTATTACTTCTAAATTTTCCGTAAACGCTTAAAAATCCGCAGTCTAGTAACACATGCACAAAATACACGAGTCTTGACGAAATGCTTGATAATTTTAGGCGATTTGTTCGACGTGTTACTACCAATGTTATCAATTTATCAAGAACACGACAGAAATCATCATTACAATCTTCAAGTGCTGATTGAATGCAAGCAATCATCATCTGTGTTCGCTGTATTGTTTATTGGATTGAGATACAGCGAAGGTCATTCAGTGGAGACCTTTTTAACGTATCCTATGTATCAGGTATGTTACATCACATTCGTTTCAACTTGATATAATTCGTTTGTTTGGCGAATTTTTGAGTATAAAGCAATGGGTATATAACATACGTGAGTGTCTTAAAGGTCGGAGCAAAATTTTATGAGAATAGTTATCATAGATTTAAAATACTCTGATGAACGAACTTAGGAGTATAAATTCAATTTCAGTCAAAGCGATATTTAAGTCAACATTTTTAAAAATATAATGGTATGCGAGATATATATATTATATTTTAAAAAATGTAATGGTGAATCAATCAAACTCTAATATTGTTTATTGAAAACGTACATAAATGTCTAAGAAAGATTTAGCAATAATGAATTAGCTTTAATTGCAAGATGCAAACTTGAGAAATTTTCAAATTATTTTCGCGGTCTTGTTCATTCCTTTTACGTCACTTTTAAAGATATTGCATTATGCTCTTCTTTATTTCCAATGAATTATTGTTTTATTATTTTATTCAAGCACCGTACATTTTTATTGTAGATTCTATTGAATATAGGAGCAAACAATGAGGGCAATAATTTTCTGCGTGTATTTTTCAGGTTTCAAGATATATTATTACGCTGCATGAATTATTGACACACACTCCTCGCGATCATGTTGAACGGAAAAGTTTAGAAAACGCGAGGCAACAACTTTGTCGTTTGTCGAGACAAATGCACGACGAGGTATTAATCGTGTTGTTAATTACAATCGTTGATTGATCAATCAAAAGCAACATGCTCCGTTTCGTTGATTGATTAATTATTAATTACTGTTCCGCTTCGTTGGTCTTCTGATAATTAACCAACTTTAACTATACCAATGCATTCACATTATTTCAGGTCGATGAAACGGAAAATTTGACCGTGAAACGAATGATCGTAGAAGACTGTGATGTTTCACTCGATATCAATCAAGGATTTGTCAGACAGGGTGAGCGATATTATTCAATCTCTTTGCGTATTTAATTTCCAAGAGGGTGAACAACCTTCAGAAGGTTGAGAGAAACTTTCCATATATTCCACATTTTGAAAGATTTCGAAACATATGACAATTCGCAGTTTGATTAGCTTCTGAGCTTTCTATTTTTCAGCCACTGATAATACGAGCAGAAATTTACAGTTTTCTTCATCAACAGCATCGATATTTTCATTGTTTCGCTTCTATCTTATTCCGATAGCAAATCGATGGGAAATGTTTCACTGCAGTCGGTAAAGTCTTAGTTGAATCTGCTGCACACGAGTATTGCCCCGAAGCTTTCACGTGTGAAAATTCGTGTGGTAAGTGGCGCATGTGCGCCCCTTTGTGTTTCAGAATCGATGGGTTTGTATATTCGTCGAATACCGCCGAAATTGCGAAATAGCCACGTGCTACTATTATTATCAGGGCAGTCGTACAAGTGGCATAAATCTCTTAAAAATATTTTTAAAATACTCAGAAAGGATCGAAAAATTATACATACTAAATTTTATTATCGTTGACACGAGATCCTTTTTAATTTACAATTGTACGTTTATTATTTTCTTTTCTAAATTTCAAGCATTTAAATCAAGGATTTGAGTAGTTTGCGAGCAGTGATTTAATTGTCAGCTATTTAAAATAAATTTAAAGGAAGGATTTGGGACATTTTGTTTGGGACATTAATTTCGTTGTTAGTTAAAGTTACACATAAATACAAAATCTACAGATACATCAATAATAGTAATAATAATCAGAATATACATTTTATTCGTTTTATCGTACTTACTTTTCATTTATATATTTATATATTCCAAATAAATTGTCAATATTTTGGAAAATTACACACAAAATGTCCGAAACAATTCTTTTTTGTTTCAAGTATTTGAAATTTGGTAAATACGCGCAAAGTTCTGTGTGAAGAAGCTGCTGATTCTAAGAAAAAAGAAAATTGAACTTTTTAGCGGAATTTTATAATACCAACAATTCCAAAATTCGGAATTTCACATACGGAAAGAGAATTATAACTTGTTCTTGAGCGGTTAACGATGTTTCATGTTTTCCTACGAGAAATGAAAATTGATGGAAATAAGATTAATGATATTTTACATTGATGAAGAAAAGAAAGATTCATGAAAATCTCGATTGACATAACACAGGAGAAAACTGCCTGGATAAGCGATATCAGCGGCTGTATGGATAACGTTCGCTCGAACGATTTACTTGAAGGCTTGCGGTCGGACGTTAGTTCCGTCACGATGTCAGAAGAATACGAAAACGATCCGAAATTATTCAACGACGACGTGGACATCAAATTCAGCAGGACCTTGAATTCCTGCAGGATCCCGCAAGTTCGATCAGCCACCCCTGAACGTCTGCTTCAACGTCTGATGGACCCGAGATTTCTCAGTATCGATTACCTCAATACGTTTTTGACAACGCATCGACTGTTCATCGACAGTGTCACTGTGATAGAAACTTTAAAGAAAGCGCTTTACGAGGCTGAACTAGCCGAGACGCCTGCTGGTTCTCTGGTGTAAGTTTCGTTACTTTTTAACCTGTTAATCTGCTAATTTGTCACATTCGTTTAGTAAAAGAGTCTGTATAGTAAAGTATAGTATAGTAAAAGAGTCTGTATTTTAATCCCTGTATTTTTTAGTAACCGTAGCGGTGAATACTTAAGTTTCTGCATTTTCGAAACCCATAAATCAGATTTTCTTGATTTACGATTCAGCGTGGTCTCAGCGATTCATTATTATGATTTATATTCCCACATTTCTTTACTTAAATGTTTTATTTGAAAGAGTCGACACGAAGGTATTTTTAATTTTTGTTGCAAAAAGCGAGCAATGATGGGAATCTGTTTTGGGGAGAAGAGACGTTTTTATGATTTGAACTTTCGTCTTTTGTAACTAGATACAAATGTATCTGTTCAGATCTTTGGACGTATTGGGAGGAAACGTGACAGCAGAAGAGAAAATATCCGCAGAAACTCTTACAATCTCAGAGCCAAAATCCACTGATAGCAAAGCAGGCAAAAAAGAGACAGAGAAACGACCTGCAAAAATACCTGAAACTGACAGTTCGTTTGAGCAACCTCTTCAACAAAATCAAGAGAATCAACAAAGACACGAACATAGAGCGTCCACTGAGTCTGTTCCTGTTGCTACTGCAAGTAGCACGATTTCTACGATAACTAGAGTATGTCGGGATATGGTTTTTAAAAAAATAATAAATTAAAATAAATTATATATATACTATCTACTATATATTATTTTATTATAGTACTGTATATTATATTATTATAGTACTAATTATAATATATTAAACTAACTAACATAATATATTATATCATTATAGTACTAATTACTATATTATTTTCGAGATTACAAAAGAATAGAACAAGTTACATATATATACGAAAACGTAATAAATGCTTTCATTGAGTTCAATAAATATTTAATATATCGGACAATATATTAAAAATATAACTAATATACTAAAATATACTAATTAAAATGTAAATGAAATACCCTTTCGCAGAATTACTGGAAGAGTTGGCGACTCATTCAAGAGAACCAATCGTCTTTCCAGCACGAGCAGATTCCCAGCAAAGCTGATATTGTGATCACCAGTTCTCACCAAAGTTATCGAAGGTTCGTTCGAGTATTCCTGACGTGTTTAAGTATCCAACATCCACATGTTGTTGTACACATTATAAAAAGAAAAGTGTGCAAGTGAGATTTTTCCTGAAGATTGTATGATATTTCCTCGTGTTTGATGGAAACATACTTATTAATTATAATGATCTGTCAACTATTCGTTCGAAGGAAACGGTAGCATGTACAATTAGAGGGAGAGTAAAACCGCAGTATTAACGATGAATCTCCTTATCGACACGCGTGTCGCCTTGACTAAGAATACTGATTTTGTACTTTAAGACAAAAGAGGAAAAGGAAAAAGAAAATTAGTTTTTATTTCGTTTCACGGCATCGCTACTGAATGTTCGATTGTAATAAAAATATCTTCCACTTTCTTACGCATGAGTGTTCTGTCTTGGTATTCTTACGTGTTTCCTTCAGCCTGTGAAAATCTTCCTGATATTTCTTATCTTTGTAGACAAACATATTCATATTCTTCTATCCTCGTTCAATCAATACTCTTCTTTGTCACTTGTGAGAGCATATGTAACAATTGGAAAGTTCATTTTTTTATTATGAAGCATCTCTCTTTATTATGAAGCAGTCTTTTTACAATTAACAAACGTAGTATGTCTTTCTTATTTTAATTTAATGTAGTTTCTTTTATTCCTGCGTATGGTGAAGAGTATAACTGAATTGCAGAATTTGTACAAAATTGTTTTTACTAACAATTAATATTAAAATGTACGAAGAATGAACGTAATGAATTAATTGTATAATTATTTTTGTTCCTAATAACGAGAAATTCATGAATTTATGACTTACTAATATCTACACTATGATCTTCTAGCTAATTTTCTTTATTTTCATTATAGAATTATTCCCTGGTCAATTCTATCATAATCACAGTGCATTGTCTTGCATAATTGTTTCTTCAAGAAACGGTATATTTTTAACTATATCTTTATATAGTACTGGTTCGTTCTACCATTTATTCTGTATACTTGCTCAACACAGATATAACAATCCTATCCATACCAAATTCAACGAATATTTCTTGGTACAGACAAATAAATATTAGAGTTCTTAAAAAGCTGTTGCAACTATCTATTATGCAAAATGTTTCTGTAGTGAGCTTTTTTTTTTTAATGTTAACTGTAACAAGATTCAATATTAGCTATAGATTTATGAATGAAATCTATAGTTATTAGATTCAATGATGCTTTTCACTTATATCACAACATATTATTTGTCTTTAAGAAACGAGATCATACAACGAATAGATTTAAGTTGATGTAATTAGACAATTCTATTTTTCAGTGATAAAATACCTATATACATTCTTCCTATAAAATACGTCTCGTACACTTTATACAATTTATACGATTCTTCTACTGGACAGAATGTATTTTTTTCTTAATTCTTTTCGAATAATACGTCAACCCCAAATGGCGATGTAAATCATTTCATCTGTCAAGATTCTTATTTCGTGTGTATTTCTCTGTTATTTAGAATATACAAACATCCCTTCTCATAAGATTAATTTTTCAACCCAAAATAATGCTGTTAATTGTTTTAACGCAACTGTATTTCATATGTTGTTATTTGTAGTGTTGGATTTGTACTTATCTGGTAAGTGTCGTCACTTTGCGCTTCTGAAACATTGCTATTTTCCATCCTACGTGGTGCATGGCGAAACTCACTTGTATACTTTCGTTTAATTGCCTGCGTACACATAAAACACATTGTGAAATTTTGAAATTTGTATTACGTTCCTTCCAAATGATTATCAAAAACATCGCGCACGAAGTATATAATTCTTTTATTCAATTCTTACGCAAATCAATGTAAAATCTATAAATAATTGAAACTTTAATAACTTGTAATATAATTGTAAGATATTATAAAGTTCTATTTCATTTTTGCTCAATTTTTTTTGACAAACCTCTGTTAGTCTCAATAATGAACGAAATTTTGAATGCATGAGAAGCTTGAACCTAATTTTACTATATATATTGCAGCTTGGTGAGATTTTATACAGGGTATTCAAATTTTCATGATACAATCAAGAAGGAGCAAAAATAAGGAGAGGAAGAAGAACGTTTTTTCATTTGAGTCTTTGTTTCCTGAAAAATCGAGTTTGAAGATTCTATGTACATTTAAATTTTGTAAATTAACTGGAATATTCCAAGTGCAAAAAATTAATTGCAGACAGAAATCTTTCCGTCAAAGGTTTCGTTTTTTAAGAATATAAATTAAAAATATTTTAATTTGTTTTCTTCGAGAACGAAGCGTTTCATTAAAAATTTATATACTTCATTTTTAATTTATTTTCTCGTCTAGAATAATCTTCTGTCGATCACTTATTCCTGTATAATCTAAAATTACTTTGATTCAAGTATGATTAATGCATTTAAAATTGATATTTTTGAAAACGTTATATAAAACAACGGTCATTTTAAACAATCTAAGTAAATACATTTTTTTTTCAATGGTATTTTATTTTTCATATAGATTTACAATTTCAATACGAGATAAAAGTACAAATGAATGAAAGAAGCTAAAAGACAATAAATATTTTAATACTTTATAACATTTTCACATTTTAACATTTCAATATTTTGTGTACATTTTTATAGTTTCAATTAGAGGTTTCAAAAAATAAACTTGTGAAACTAAAAAGAGTAAAATAAGAATATTTCTTGAATATACACGATGGTTTCAAATTATAAAAAATATTTGAAACCTATATAATTATTATATAATAATAATTAGCATATAAACATAATTATCTATATTTTAAGGATTTCGAATGATATAATAGAAAAAAATTTTTTAACTTCAAAAAATTTCCTAAATTTATCTGTTTAAAGTACACAATTTATGATGCCAATGTAAAATTTAGAAAATGTTTTATTTTCTAGATTCTAGTAAGCTCAAGTTTAATTTGAGTTTTCTTAATAGAACTACATAAATTTTCTTCCATCCCACTATATGGAGAGTAGTAAAAGTGTAGCCAAAAATTATGGCTGATGTTGTATCACAAATTGTGTATGACAACCAAAACTCTTCGTACTATTTGCAAGAATAGTCATGACATAAATGAGTATAACACGAACGACATTGCACAAGAACGAATTCAACGGAGAAAGGACTAACGTTTCGTTGTATATATTTAGGAGCGGTACATCGACAGCTGCAACTGCATTTGCAATTGCAACATCTGCGTCGAGCAACCCGCCAGACGAGGGCAGTGATCAAGATAATCGCAGCGGTTCTTGTCGCGACAAAAACAGACGGAACGAGTCGGTTATGTCAACCGCAATCATGACGAGAGTGTTGAAAATTTTGAGACATTGGATCTCGAAACACCCTCAAGATTTCCAGTCTGATAATAGGTTGAAAAATCTGACGATCAAGTTCCTCGACGACATCATTCACTGGCCTAATCTTCTGCCGGCTGAGCACAAAGTCGCGATCCAACTTCTTCGATTGATAACGAAGGAACAACCGGAGAATAACAAAGAAGAACTTAGGAAACTGTTGGCTCCTCCTACTGTACGTATACACAGAATAAATATCAAAGAAGCAACAGATAGTACAATTGGACGCTGTAATTCTTCTTCTACGCTGTTTCCGGTAATATTAGTTGAGGAATTTTATTATTCTGAGAAAGGTTGTCGCACGATTTCAGGTGAAAATTAAGCAGAGTGTCGAGACGTTCGCGTCAGTTGAAGTCGCAGAGCAAATGACGTATCTGGATCACAAGATTTTTATGGCCCTCGCGAGCAAGTAAGTTAGCAAAAATTGATGTTAATTCATTGTGAAATTGCACAGACGTGTTTTGGAAAAACAAGGCAGATTAATTATTACATGGATTTTAGATTATATGAATCTCCGTTCTTTTAAAATGCCGCTGAAAAATAAATTTTACTATAATAATATTAATATTATTATTAAAAATAAGTTTTACTATAATAAAATTAATTATTTACTATAATTAGTAATATAAATAAAATTAAAAATTTTACTTTAAAAATAAATTTAACTAAACGTTACTGAAATTATTGTACTGGAATTTAACTTAAAGTAATATGGTTCAATATATAAAGTTATAATGAATTAAATTCGTGTTCGATAAAATTGAAAAGATGGATTTAATTAATTTAGGAAGCCAAAAGTAAATTTAATGAATTAAGAAAAGTTAAAATGAATGAATCAAAGTAAAGAAGATTTGATTCACTAGTATTCAATGATGTACAAGTGCTGACGTCTCTATAATGTTTAATCTGCTCGTACATATATTTCTGCGTAGAGAATTTCTTGGACAGGCATGGACAAAAGCTGACAAGTCTTCACGCGCTCCCAACATTTGCCTACTAACAAAGAGGTTCAACGAAATGTCAAAATTGATTGCTTCCGAGGTTGTTAGGCGTAGAAGTGTGTCAGGGAGAGTTGCAGTGATCGAAAAATGGGTTGCAATCGCAGATTGCAACAGAACTTTACGCAATTACAATGGTGTACTACAAATTTGTGCAGCTCTTTCGAGCAGCAGTATTTTCAGATTAAAGAGGACTTGGAATAAAGTTCCAGAAGCGGTAAATAAAATTAATACGAACATCCAGAGTAGTGTGAACCCTCGGAGAACAATTGGATCGATTTAATTCACTCGTGCTTTTATTCATATTTCTTTGAAAAAAATTCACAGCTAGAAATATTAATTATTATACACAAAAACATACGTGTAAGTGACAAAACAGTAAAAGAAATATGCGTATGAGTCGATCACGAAGTTTCGCGGAAGATATCAGATGATACTCCGATGGTTAATAGAAAATAAATAAATATAACAACGAATTATTTATTTATTTCACTCATAGACGACACAAATGATGGAAGAACTGCAGGATATTGTGTCGTCGGATGGACGCTTCAAAAATTTGAAGGAGGCATTGCGTCGATGCGATTCACCTTGCATCCCTTATATAGGAATGTACCTGTCCGACCTTTCTTTCATCGAAGAAGGTACTCGAACTATGACCGAAGATGGCCTTTTAAACTTTTCCAAAATGAGAATGGTACATAATTTCTTTTTTGGGATACATTATGTTAAAACTAAAGATATTCATTACTTCGTTGTTGTAAGGATTAATGTGAAATATTACGATTCAATAAATTAGAAACGAATGAATTTGTAATTTGAGCCAATTTCTTAATACTGAAACTATCAACAACTAAAATATGATATTTATTTCAAAGAAATTCAACATGAAAAATTTATGGTACTACTAGTTTAAATTTATAGTGTTGTTACGAAAGTGTACTATTGTAAATTTATGAAGTTACAAAAAATTATGAATTGATGATTTTGAGCATCATGGTAATATGTAAAGTTTGCCAATTTCTTTTCAGGTAATTTCTAAATGAACAATTCCAATTTTTTTAAAGTGCATAATTTTTAGTTCTATATTTCAATTTCTTTTATGTCACAATGTTACAAAAGTAGTTTCAAACTTTCATATTTATTATAATATTATTATATTTGTTACATAAAATTATTATTCGTGTAAATTCAAATAAATTCGCACTCCAGCGAAGATTTTCAAGCTTTAGACAGCTTGAGGTAGCCTAACCCTTTGAATTCAACTTGACAACTCACTTGTTGAAATTTCAATTTATTTCCAGATTGCCCACGTGATCCAAGAAATAGGTCAATTACAACAAGGTTCATACAATATCGAACCGATAGCGAAGATTATCAATTATCTGTTGGATCCGTCGTTGCAGATCGACGACGATACTTTATATCAGATGTCCTTGGAGATCGAACCAAGATCATCGAAGCCAAGTTCAAGCTTATTTCATTTGACATCCTCCGTCGCCCACAAATCAAAAAAATGAATTTGAGTATCAAACTATTTAATAAATTCACTTTAATTTATTTCTTAAATTAATCGATACGTAATTTATGTTTGTTTCATCTTTCAGTTGTTTTCCACATCAAACTTGCAGCTTCTTCCTCGCTATTGCTTCACAACTAGACCAATTCATGTGCAAAGTATGAATGCAAGTGATTAGAGATACATTGGGACTTAATATATATATAGATGACTGTTATGTACTCCAGATACAACTTTGAAGCTATACTTGAAGCCAAGCTTATATATTTATTCTTCGTAAACGTTTAGTTAAGTTTAATGTTTCTTTCAATCACGACTGAAATTTGTTCTTCTGTCTTTTTTTCTTTCTTCTGTCTTTTTTTCTTTTTTAATTGTTTTCTATTTTATCTCACTCTTTTTTTTCTTACGTGATGACTCATTTCCTCTTCTGCTTTTTCTCCAGCCTCTTACATGTGCAAACTAACTGCTGTTATACATATCTGGTTTCATTTTTTAATTTTGTCAATTTATAGAAAAATACTTTTCTATAGTCTCTTTTCATATGTGTATTAGAAGCGATGCTATAATTCAGTTTTCCATAATTTATCACTGACGAGGTCTCAACAATTAATTACTGGCATATACTCTTATATCACTTTATTATGTTTTATTTAAAAAAGTCGATGCAGGAGTAGTTTAATTCTCGTTACAAAAGCGGGTAATGGTGATGCTCGCGCAGCATTCAGAGAAGAAAGAAACAGTAGAGTAAAGTGGAGGGGATTCTCCCTCTGCGGTTCATAAAGAAGGGGATGAGCCACGTTTGGCTCGCGAGCCGCCAGTTCAAAAGGCCTGATATAATTAATTTATATGTACTATATACATATATATAATATCTTATAAAACTATAGTTGCAATATTAATTTATATGTACTAAACTGTAAAGTTGCAACATTATGTGACATTATCTTTATTTAAAATAGGTCTAGGCAACTGATGAATACTCGATTCTGGCGTGTGTAACAGTTATTTATATGTGTATATTAAGTTCCAATGTAGCCCTAGTCACTCGTGTCTTACATATTACAACTGACATAGTGAAGGAATTGGTAGATCAGTGTTAGGGAAAACAATGGCGAGGAAATCGCTCAGACCTGTTTTATCATAATACGTTTTGGAACTTATCGGTTCTAAAAATGTAAAAATTCATTTCTTCAAATGACTGTAAAATCAGTCAGAGTCAATCTAGAATATATTGACCCCTTTTCTTAAAATTTTGTTTCTAATTTTTTTAACATCAGTGATTAATCGTGAGAAATCAAATTGACGCTTTATATATGCATAATTTGTAAAAAATTGAAACTTAAATTTCGAATTCAAGTTCTACAATTTAATTATTTTTAATTGAAATCATAATTCGTACAATGTGCGTGACCTTATATTACAAGACAAAGGGTTAATTTTTTTTTAGAGAGAAAATAAGGATCTGTCAGCTCTTTGTTTAGAAGGAAACAAGGAGTAAGAGTTAAGTTCATATTTCGATTCCGGATATTATCCACATTCATAACATTTGAATTGTTTTTCGTTTAATATATCATTTCCTAAAATTCTATTTCCATTCATTTTCTATTCTTTTACGTATGATTTATTAAATAGAGTCAGTCGATACACCGATATGGTGAAACATGGCGCACAGATGATGTCATATTTTAACACATTCCTCGCAGATTTTCATGCAAATAAGAGATCAATAGCAACATTATAGCGAACCACTTTTCGATGACTACTTCTTAAACTAATCATGTTCCTTTGTCGATAATTGTAGCTTATTTAGATTGTACATTTACATTGTATAAATATATTTGTGATACAGTGAAAACTGTAATCGTACCAACGATAATGTTCATATGGCCACATTTTGGAAATTTTATATTGTCTGCTCGTTGCATTTCATCAATACATTACTAGAAAAAAATAATGAATTACTTGTAGCAATCATTTATCCAGATTTTGAATTGGTGCTACGTATAATCCAGAATATATAAAATCATTCCGAAGTTTGAATTTATCAACTATGAATGTTTTTTAACCACATTATCAATTGCATTAAAGAAATAAAATTTTTCTATAAATCGTCGTGGTCTATTTATATTTACAAAAATATTATGCATCCCCTGATTCGTGCGACAATCTTTCTCAGAATAATAAAATTCCTTAACTAATATTACCGGAAAAACCGTAGAAGAAGAATTACAGCGTCCAATTGTACTATCTGTTATTTCTTTGATATTTATTCTGCGTATACGTACAGTAGAAGGAGCCAACAGTTTCCTAAGTTCTTCTTTGTTATTCTCCGGTTATTCCTTCGTTATCAATCGAAGAAGTTGGATCGCGACTTTGTGCTCAGCCGGCAGAAGATTAGGCCAGTGAATGATGTCGTCGAGGAACTTGATCGTCAGATTTTTCAACCTATTATCAGACTGGAAATCTTGAGGGTGTTTCGAGATCCAATGTCTCAAAATTTTCAACACTCTCGTCATGATTGCGGTTGACATAACCGACTCGTTCCGTCTGTTTTTGTCGCGACAAGAACCGCTGCGATTATCTTGATCACTGCCCTCGTCTGGCGGGTTGCTCGACGCAGATGTTGCAATTGCAAATGCAGTTGCAGCCGTCGATGTACCGCTCCTAAATATATACAACGAAACGTTAATCCTTTCTCCGTTGAACTCGTTCTTGTGCAATCTCGTTCGTGTTATACTCATTTATGTTATGACTATTCCTTTAAATAGTACGAAGAGTTTTGGTTATTTGATTATTATGTCTGATATTGTCTTGAAATCTTGAGAATGTGCCGAGATCAAGTGCCTTAAAATTTTTAACATTATCGTTGATTGTGATTGACATTAGCGACTCCTTCTGCTTGTGTTTGTGACGACAGCTGCGATTTTATTCGAAAACTATCGTCTCAAGAAGAATGTACAGTTTTTTATATTCATTTTTCTTTAGAAACAAATTATAGTGTAGTAAAAATTTTGGAATATTTGCATGTTGACACCATATTTTCTAAATATATCGCATTGTATTGTTATCAATTAACAATTTTAATAATATATTTTTACACAGTATATAAATGTCGAGTTCTATTTACAAAATTTGAATTTTATACATTTCGTGTATTCATTTGAAGTCAGAAAGTTACAATTCGCTTTTCATACCATTGGAACTTCATCTACATGTTTTTTATAATTCTCCCATCACACTTGCCATAAATAATTGTGCGTTTGTGCGAAAACTTCAGTTATTATATTATAATTATTTTCCTATAGAATTTAGATTTAAGATCAACCAGTTATTAGAATTATACAACATAAAATATTTTATTTCAAAAAAAAGAATTACAAGTACAATTATTTTATTTTATTTTTTTCTAAAATTTTTCTAATCATTTTTAGTCATGAAATTAAAATCAGTAGCTATTCTATTTCTTCAGGTTAATTCTTTTAACACTTTGAATGCTTATGAATATTACTTAAAAGTTAATACAAAAATTTAATACAAAATATGAAACATATAACAAATTAAGAATACATTCATTTTAAAACGTGCTCTTTGATATTTACTTAATATTAAAATAAATTCAATATTAAAATTTATTCGGTTTGATGTATTTATTTTAATACGTTACCCCTTTAAAAGTTTTAAGAAATAAGTGTTGCAAATTAATTAGATATAAGATGTTCTCCATTTTGTATTAAGCAACAATACAATTTACTTTCAAATTCAATTTTCACTTTTCTTCTAGTTTGCTTCGAAATTTCGTTTGCTTAACTCTTTTAACTCGTATAATTCTTAAACTCTGTTAAATTTAAATTGCCAATGGTGTTAAATTTCATGTAAAATTCTTCTCAAACTTTCTGTTTATTGCATTCGTAATGAATATAATTAATAATTTTAGGACAGATTCTATTTTGAATATTCATTATTTATCGTAAATAATAAAACAAATAACTTGAACAATTGTTCGTATGTTAACACTTTATATATTCTTAATATATTCTTTTTTGTACGAAGCATTATTTCATAATTTTTTTTAGGTCATAGATTTACAATTAATAATATAGAACATAGCAAATTTAATATATAACACAGAATGCCGATAGATTTTTCCTTTTTCAATTCAGTTATTTTCGCTCGTTGACGAGGAGTTCCATATTTTTTAAAATAAAGCAATACTAACATTTTGTGCCCTTTGTCCAATCGATCGCACGTTTCTACTTCTTTTTCTTTTTTAAGAACAAATCGGCACATCAGCCGCAAATGTTCATTTTATTCTGACATTCAAATATCACGAATATGGATAAAATTGTTTCATCACGGACGGGAAAGTTTGACGCATCTCATTGTGCCGGTGAAATTGAATACCGTAGGCACAATTAAAGATACCAAGTTAAACATCGCAACGTCCGGAAGTAACAAACAATATTTTTCCTTCGTTGCCGCGTTTAAATGGATCCGACGACAATAGTGGCGGATGCTCAGTTCTTTAAAGAAAAACTTCCGTCGATTATTGCATCTCGGTTGCTTCTCCTCCATAAAAACAGTTTTTTCTGTTTTATGTAACTTTAACCGGTTTTTTTTAATTAAGAGAGTATCGCTGTTTTCAAAGCGATTTCAGTAATTCAGTCGCTTGGAAGCACCGTCCCGCGGTATCTTCCTTTCACGATTTTTATACATATTCACCTACGTAGCATCGTTTTAACACACAATCTAACTCTTCTGTTTCTATCTTCGACGTTCTTCAGGAAATACGTATTGCAGCGTTGGAAGGTACGATAAATAAAATAAAGTAATGTACGGGGTGATCCAATAAGAATCGACGTTCGTTATTTTTGAAAATATGAACAAAAATTGTTCACCACAGAAGGAGCTACAATAACAATTTTCTTTTTATAAGTTTCTTCACAAAAATAGCGGAAACTATTATTAAAAGCTTTTAAAATTATCATAAAAATATTAATTTTTAGAATTATATTATTTTCTATAAGTTTAAATATGATATTTTTAAGAATATATTTTTCATTTTTTAACTATGAAATAATTTTAGAAATATTGTAAGATTAAATTCAATAAATATAAATATACTTTTAATTATAAATTATAAAATTTTATTATTTATTTATTTGGTAATATTTATTTCTTCAATAATTTTCATACACAGAATTGGACATATAAATTTAAATAATTTTTTTATTGAAACGTTTTTATTATTTAATAATAAAATACCGTACCTCATCTGTTACAGTAATTCAAGAATCATTTGCTCTATCAACTTGGCTACAACATAGCTGTTGCAATATAATCAG